TCAAAATCTCTACCTGCTTCAATATAATCCTGTGTTTGCAGTGGATGGGGAGAAAACCAGATAGAATGGGTGAAGAATGGCGAAAGGAATATCATGAAAAAAGACGGCACAGAAATTTATACGTTCGGTAAGGCATCAGCATACTTTCCTACATCTGCTTTTTCTTTCAAACTGGGGTACCTTTTTGCATTTTCCTATGAAATCTGTTCATACTCTGAGCTTCAGAAGCTTTTTGTTTGCGTTCTTAAATCACAAAATTCTGCTCAAGACTGTCCAAAACTGAAAAGATTGTTGGCCCTTCTAACATTTCTACTTTATCAGATAATGTGTTCGATCAACTCTGCAGCAACGAAGTCATCTATGAAAATGTTATGGCTGGTCTCGTTGATGCAGCTTTGTCCGGTTTTAATACTGCCGTCTGTGCCTATGGGCAATCTGGCGCAGGTATAGTTTCTATAAAAAAATTTCCGAGAAATATATAACCAAAATGGTGCTTATTTTGAGGTAAAACACATACACTGACCGGATCGGAAAATGAAGATGGTTTAGTACAGAGTACATTCCGTGCACTCTTGGAAACTATTGCGAAGGTAACATTTCAATTTTTCGCACTGCACTACAAAAAAGGAATTCTTTCAGGCGAGCGATCGCGAATACATGATGCGGATATCGTACATTGAGATATACAATGAACGAGTGCGCGACCTCTTGAGTGACAACTCAGTGGATTTGCCCATATACGAAAATAAGGACGGCGTTGCACAGATTGACGGCTTAACGGAGGAAGTTGTCACCGAAAATGCCCAGGTGGCAGCGCTGCTCGAAAAAGCACAAGGTGGGAAAATTGAAACACTAAAATTAGTTTTGATGAAATTCATCTGGAACTATAATTTATTCTGAGGATATCATTCATTATTTTCCGAATTTTGCTGTAAAAGAAAGCATCTCATTTTTTGTTGCTGCTGAGCGGTGTTCTAAGCACGCAGCATGTCTTTGTCGCTTTCTTACTTCACCGCATTGTTCTAAAGAAGTATTCTTTATGATTGGAAAAAGCTGCAGAAAGACTAGTTCAGAGTTCCTCTGCGATAGCTTGCAATATTTGCAGTGCTGGAACTGCTGGAAAATCAACTGAGCTCTTGACGTAAAAATCACATATTTTTTGGCAAAATCGGCCCGTAGTGGAGACACTCTTCAAATTAGAGATCATGCAGTTTTGACTGCACAGATTTACCATATACACTTGCATCCATTCCATAAAACTATGATTTTGAGTTTTAGACCGTCGCCAACTCGGTGAAACGCGCCTGAATGAACGTAGCTCGCGGTC